TCGTCCCACTGCTGTGGCTTTTTCGGCCAACTGAGCATATTGCATCAGTGAGAAAATCATTCTGATTGGCTGTTCAGCTTAAGCGGATCAATGCACGAGAAGAGAAACGAAAGTGAGAACAGCAGACGAAAGGATCATCTTCATTTAATCTGATCATTCATTTTCTTGATTAGAAGCAGCTGTTTAATGAAACTGGCTGTTTTGGTTGATATCAGCAGTCCTAGGTCTTCAGATGTTCTTTGAATGATAAAGCCACCTGCTGGTATTGAGAGTTATTACCTCTTGCGTAGGTGCAGAACGTACGTGCTAGTTGGCTGTTTGCTGTAGTCAGTGCCGTCTTTTTCTGCCGTCATTTTTCTGGCAAAGACACAGGCAATGTGAGGTGATGCAACAGTCTTTTGTTGCCAATTCCTCTGCCAGTTTGGTGTGACAGGGCCTTTAAAAGACCCGTGTGTAGGATTTAGTGCCATCTGGCATTGAAGTTGCGGATAACTGCGAATACCGCTAACATCTGTATTTGACAACCTGGGAATGAGAATCGGCTGTGAAGTGTGACTATGGGGGCTGCGATACTCGTGAAAATCATGAACATCTACAGCCAGTGTTTGGTTTGTCAGTTCTGGGCTACTGTAGAAACATGGTGGTTCATCACGGCAGACTCCATGGAAAGCTGCGGCATCTGTAGATAAAAAGGGCTCACTCTAAGGTAACTAAAACAGGGTTGCTATATTCAGGTGATTATACACTAATGAAAACATACCTATATTCCATTTCTGCAAGTAAAGCCTACTAAATGTTACATACTGGACCTTTAACAGCCTTTGATTCCATTTTCGTGCTATGTCTGGAGTGGTTTAAAAGCTGCTTGCACTGTTATTTTAAGTTCCCAGGGATGGTGTCTCATAGTGGAGACCATTGAGGTGAAACACTCCCGGGACCAGGGTTAAGTCCCAGAAGCAGTGTCTTTAGTTTAGGAGGCGGAGGGGGAGCGGGATGATGTCCTTGTTGGTAGGTCAGTTCAGACGGTGTAAACTTCCTTATGCATTATGTTTCCCTGTGAAAAGACTCTATAAGCAGCTAGAGAGTTCATGAGCATCAGAGGCACGTGGTCTCCTCCACAGTAGAGGAATAAACATAACAAAGAATTCCCTTCAGAAGCATGCTATAAATCCTACAGTAGATGTCCTGTGTTTATCATTATTTTTTCTGAGCAGTCTACAGTCTGAGTGTGTCAGTTGTACACAACTGCATTGACAAATTGTAATGTACATACACAGGCACTGAAAAAGGCCATATGAATGTCAAAAACCTAATCAGCTCTAAACATAGCAAGAACACTCAGCCAGGTGTCAGCGTTAGAAACAACACTTGTGATCGATTCGTCAACAATGGTGTTTGTTTCAGTGTGAGCATTCAGTCAGGGCAGAGTAATGTGGAGCAAAAACAGCTCATTGTTGAAAGCAGTTTAAAGGAGATGAAAAGAACAGTGTGAGCTCAGTCTGAGATGTGAATGTTTCTTGGTTTATTTCACTGGTTTGGTCATGGCAGGAATACTTCTCCAAATTAGGTGCCTTGCGTTTTTGGATGGAGCTCCCAGTGAAACATGTGTCAACTTTAGTCGCGCCACTCTGCCTGAGAGACAAAATCCTCTTTCTGGATCATTATCACAGCAATGAAGTTTTATTTGAAGCAACACCAAAGTTCAGGACAAAGTATGGAATAACTGACATTAAAATATTTTAAGTGAGAGGTTATGTAATGATAATGTCTTTTGCATAACCAATTAAATTATGAAACTTTTAATGTGCAAGACTCAGTGACAGTTAAGTCACATACAATTGAGTTCCAGCAGTGGCTGAAAACCTCACAATAAAAATACTTGCCTTATAACTTGGCTAGTAAAATGTCTGGTTTGTGATCAATCCAGCAAAACTTCCAAACTTCAGTCAAATTAGAGAGAGGGTTTAGTATCAGACATACAGTATTACAAGATACATGTAAGAAAATCCTTCCTGTTAAACTTAAGCAGCCTGTAATAGCATAGCAACATTTAAACATTATACAGTTTTTACACTACGTACCATATGACCATAACAACGACACGCCTGCTTTGTGATATGTTACCAGTTGATTCTCATAGGTGAGAAAGACTACACGTTTGACTACAAACAAGTTTCTGGAACGATTTAAGCAAGCACGCACTGCGGTCACTGAGTGAGCGCAGTAATACACTCTTGTGTTGTCCTTATACAGAAATACAACAGACTTCTCGTTTGTTCACTCTGTTATTTAATTTAGCAATCTGTCAGTGGGTCCACTACTTTGACCCAGACTGAATTATCTCAGATTGATTGCCAGGAAATTTGGTTGAGACATTCATGTTCCCCTCTGGATGAATGGTTTACTTTTCTGATGCCAACATCTGGTCAAAAATGTACTTTGTCCAGTGGTTTATTACTAAATTCCTGCAAGACAAATTACATTTCTATCTTACTTATCTGTAATGTTAGCTAAGATGGTTAGCATTGTCATTGTGAGGATGTTAGCATTTAGTGGCTGCTGTGTCTAAACTACAACCTCAAAGAGTGTCTAAAATGGCTGTAGGCTGTTGGTGTTGTTATGTAACAAGACACCCTGGGTCACATTTTCTTTTACCTTATTCCTAAAGAACATAATTGATCTTTTAGCATATCTCCATTGCATTAACTTTTAAGGATCTCTTAAATACAGCTTCGAATATCACTTAACCTGAACTGAACTTTTTATATTTGGCAAGGCTGAAGGCTGTGGAATGTCTGTATTAGTCGATCATCAACACTTGGTGGAGTGTACAAGTGAAATGGTTGCCTTTAGACCTTTGAGGATGTTTAGCATGAGAGTAAGAGCCTCATTTATAGTAACACAGTTTTATTATGGACATCCCCATGTGACATTAAACTGTACACATTGAAAACAAGGTAGAAAACAAGAGCAAAAAACAAGCCATGAACAATCTCTTTCCCCCAAAAAGGTTATCAGAAAGAACTATGCATAAACACACCATGGTGACAAAGCACTTTTTAGTTTTTCTTTTTTTTAGACCAGACACAAGTTTATTTGCTGGGTCTTTTGATAACAACAACAATATTTACTGAGAGAACATTTCATAATGTATCTTACACAGAAGAGCACTGAATGTAGAATGTAGAATGCAGATAAACATTGGAATAAATCAGAATTTGTGTTTTTATTTCAGTATGTAATGTAAAGAAACCAGCCTCAAAGCAACAAACTAGTGCAGCTACCTCACTGATAAATGGGTTAAACTCTCCTCCTGTAACCAGCCCAATGAATTGCTCATGCATATACAGTATATTCATGAACCATTTAATTACTGTATTTTTACAATTTGGGGAATTGGCCGCCTGTGCGCTTTCCTGAATTGATACATTTTTCCAATTCTTAGATTATCGCCAGCTCAACAATTCACAGTGGAAGAGTTTCTCCAGATAAAAGCTACCTAGCAAATTCCAATCCAGAATTTAGTGAACAGTTGTGACCTATAAGATCCGACTGACTGCTAAAAGAAACAAGACTTGAATGACAACATGATTCACTAGAAGAAACTCATCAGCTCATGGGGCTGCATTGTGATTGTTGGAGACTTTTCAGCTTCGAATTCAATACTTGTCTGACTTTATTAGCACCATAAAATATGAAAATTATAAGCCAAAAAACATAGTGATCTACAAAACATCACAGCAGGCACAGTCAGATCATTTTTATCCACAGAGATGCAGTCTCTTCTTCAAACCTCTTCTCTGATTTTACTCTGTGTTGAATGGAGTGACATCACATGAGGTGCTTTAACAAAGTCGCTTTTGAATTTACGGCCCATGAGGAACATATTTTAAAACAAAAAATCCAGCCGTATTTCATCCTAAGAGTACTTTGATAGAGGAAATGTTGTAGAATTTCACTCGCGGCTCTGTTAGGAGGGGAAAAAACTAGATGGCCATGCATGTTAAAAGCCTATGTGCCATCAAAGCCCCTTGGGCTACAAAGGGCTCTTTTAGCAAATGGATGGCAACAGCTGCAAACTCTGGGCTGTTCTTAATGTGCACGGTGCAGATGTCTGCACTTGAGTCCCACAGTCTGAGACAGATCTGTCTGGCTCTACACTGGGCCTCTCTCATCATATCACTGTAGCTTCATTAAGCACTGAACTCGATATCAACATCTGCCTGACAGTTTTTGCTCTCCAATTAAAGAATAACCTCACTAAAAGATACAGTATTAACCATTGCAGATACTTGTTATAAACTGTATGTATCCTGTTATCTATCTTGTGTTAGCCTCACATAAAATGATTATCAGTGTACGACACCATGTCCCTTTTCACACGTGGAAGCCGGTTTGGAGACAAAAAATATTGTAAAAGTGGTAAAATCCACACCTGTAGGATATGCTGTGTCTGAATTATAAGATATTCCCTAATCATGTATTGCTTTGAATTTTATCACCAGATTCCTCTCATTCTCTGGCACGAACTAGAGCATACAATGGAGGGAAACATGACTGCATCCAAAGGGAATCATACTGCATTAGCACTGCAGCCGCCTCTGTAGCCTTTTAATTCTGAAAACTGGAACGACAATGTAGAGCTGAATATTTGATGCTGCAATGCAAAACTGTGGCTCTGTTTAATGGCTGGATGCCTGAACACTCTCCAGCAATATGTGGATTTAAATATTGTCCTAACAAGGTCTATGATAGTTTAAGGTGAAGAAAGGTTTATTTGCAGAACAAACCATTTATGTCTTACAGGCTCACAGGAAGTGGGAAAAAAATCCAAATAAGCACCTGGATGAGGCGACAGGGATACATTACTGATCAAAGCTATTGGGAAAGAGCTGCAATTACCAAAATCAATACACAGTGATAAGAAATGCGTTGCAGTCATGAACCATAATTCAATCAGATAACACACATCTATCTAATCAGTGAACTGGGACAGAACATTGTTGACTATTGAACTCATTTAATGCTTAAAACAAATACAAGTTACTTCACTGGGTCATCACAATTGAACAAGAGATTTTTTTTCATATTTGTAACACCCTCAGAAATATACATTCACATGGCTGCATACAGACAATTTTCTCTCTTTTGATTTACTTTCAATAACATTAAATCGACAAATTGTATGCATCACCCCTTTGTATGACAGTGAAGCCGCTAGTGGCATATTAAAAACGTACTGGAGGAGCATTTTTAGGTGAGACTTTGGAAATAAGCTATGCATCAACTTCATCTATCCATCATCGAGTCTCTATGTTTGCAGTCAAAATAGGTATATTTTACATGAACAGAGTCCCTATGCAGTTGTCCCTAAATAAATCCTGACTATAATCTCAACCCTATGTACAGTATTTACAGTGGAATGTTGAACATACTGAATACAAAAAGTAGATTAGGATGGAATGAAGTTACAGTCAGTATTACAAAATAGAAACTCATAACACCCCAACAACATGAAGACAATGTTTACATCTACCAGAATACAGAATGTCGACTTAACTCTGAAAGGGTTTTCTTTCTCCAACATGTCTGAGAAGCAAGTGGCAGTGGTTTCATAATGGCTGCAGAAAACAAGTGAAATGAAACCCTAAACTTGTGCTTTAAAAGGGGGCAGAGTTGATCTTTGCTTTGGGCCAAAGTTACATTTTTCTTTTTTCTTTTTTCTATAGTCAGTTAAATCTCTTGTCACTGTGTTTTCATTGTTGTGCTTAGAAAAGTCAACGATGTGCGACTAAGTTGCAAAAGTTCTCTTATAGATCTCTTTAGGACTTTAGTATTGAGAGGGAAAAAAGTGCTGTATCACTATTTATCCATCAGTAAAGTTTAAAATGGCAATGAATTCAGCTTTTAAGAGATCAATTGATTTACAGATCAAGATAAAGATCAATTTTTAGCATTGTGCTGGAGCTCAGATGGAAATGTATCCCCACTATACTAACTGAAATTCACTGCAAGTAAAGAACCATCAAGTGTCTGATCTGAGGAGGTTTGCAGCCCATGTCATATTTCAATATTATTTATCATTTCAATATTATTTATCATGTTATTCTATGGCATGAATAACTCAAATGATGGAGCAGCAACCGTTCAGACTACCTCTCCTGACTTTGATAGGCACTGAATGCGAGAATAAAAGATAAAAACATGCTTTTCACGCGTTTCTCTCCATAATGCTGTGATGCAAACTACGCGGAATTGAAAAGCTACAGCAAAGCAGTTTATCGGCAGGTGAAGAATAAACTAAAGGCTGTAAAACTTTCATTTGTTTTTGCACTTTGAAAGTAGCAACCCTGCCTCTGAAACTTTCTGTAGCAAACCTCAAGTCTCCCACTGTAGAAATAAGGCTGTAGAAAGTGAAACTAAACTAAAATGTAATCAAAAGACCTTTAATAAGAACATGATATTCCCCACTTTGTAATGTTAATTTGTGTTGAAAATGCAATATAAATTGAGGCTCATGATTAACATGCTCATCTAAAAACATACAGTAGACAAGCATGAATTGTAAAACATTCACATCTCCAGCCGGCAGAGAGATCTGCTCTCAGAGAGATGTTATTTTTTCACCTTTATTTATATATATATTTATATACTTTTTGTGTGTTAACTGCAATATTGTTGCTGGGTACTGTGTGCCCAAAAACTCATACCTCTGTCAATACTGACAACACTAACAAAGTGTCATCTTTAGAGCTGCAAATGAGGACAAACGCACTGGAATTGATACAGAAAAAATAGCAACATACGCACATCCACTCCAACACAAAAAACATGCATAAAATAAGGCTTAATATAGTATTTATACTGTTCATTGCCAGTCAGATATGTTGTTTATATCCATGGATTTACTCCTTTGCTTCTGTTTTATCCCATATTTCACACTGAACTTTTTTGTTTGAAGCAAATGCATTTTGCTGATTGTATAATGGACCTCAATGCTGAGGAGAGAAACAAGTAATTTGCTATGCTACAGTAGCATCCACTGGCACTTGTTAACAGTGATTTAAAAAGCCATATATATATATATAATGCCTTCAGAGAGGGTCATTGTATCTCGATTGGCAGGTTAAGATGCCAACATCAGGGGAAGGACAACCATTCATTCCTTTAAAATCCCCCAAACAGCTATTGAAATTCATTTCAGAAAGAAAAAAAGGAGATGGAACAAAAACATCATGAAAGCAGCAGGTGACTTATTATACTAGCATGGCCACCGTCATAATTCCCTTTACATATTCAAATGTTTTCTCTGTAGATGTACATAAAAAACATTAGTTGACATTTTCCTCCTATCTGTGTCCTTTGTGTCCATGGATGACTCCTCATAGCAAATGCTGTTGGTATAAGCGAGGAGGTTTAAGCCAATTCTTCAGTACACAGTCACCACAGTTATAACGAGAGACAAAGTCATCATTGGGAAAATCCCCAGATACCTTTCTCTGACATCCATTTGATAAAAGAAGGGTTAGAACAAAACATAATTGTACCAACTCAACACAAAAATGTCATTATAGTGGTAAGATTGAGAGCTTGTGTACACAGGTCAACCTGTTCAAGTCAAGTGACAATCATGACATTTCAGAGCATTATTGAAGGTTTCCGTGGACACCAAGACTCACCATAGCTCTTTTTTGGACACGATTGTGACGCACCACTGAAAAGTAGAAATTTTTGTGTATGATACGACTGCAGCCCTTCTCTGCCTTGCTATTCTGATTCACTGATGTGGAAACTAATTTAATGAGACTGAAATTTAGGCAAAAGACACTCAACATTTATCTGTTACTGCCATGTCCATATGGCTCAGTAGACTGACTCCCTCTCAGTAAAGAAACTCATCAAGCAAATAAACACAGGGGGTTAAGAAGAAATACTAAGCATGTCTTTGGAAAACAGCATTAACGTGTCTGCTTTTAATGCTGTAAATATACAAAGATTAGTAATTTCATGAGCTCTAACCCCAGTGAGAAATGATACAGGTCCTGTATGGCATTTTTTTTTTCTTTCTCTTTCTCAGAAACATTTGACCACAAAATTACAAACACTTAGAACTCCACCTGCAATTATGTCAGACATTTAACTCTCAATTCTCTGGTCACTTAAAAATCATACAAAAAGACATTATAAAAATAACAAAACGGCAATGGTAATGGAAAAAAACCCAAATTGCACATCCAGTGTAGGACTTTCACAAATGTGCTCAGCAAAACCTCAACCTGCAGTCTCTTTTTATACATTTAATACATTTATAACATGAAAAAATACACAAAAAGAATATTACACCAGTATTAATCAACCGATCACCTCGCTGACCTCGTAAGTCAGTGACAACGAGTCCATTTACATACCTTAGTTTGTATTCTTTGCCCATTCACCTGATGGAACTGATACCAATGCTGACATGTTGAGAAGTTGATGTTGCTAGCACTTTAAATAGACGCTTGATTTTCTAAATGAGATTAGTTGGATGGGGTCTGATGTGGGGGGGGGGGAGTCATGGGGAAGGGGGTACTAGGTTGACCAAAAGAGGAATGGGACTGTGAAGGGTGCTGTTTGACAAATGGGAGGGTGGGGTCGTGATGGAGGTGAAGGGTGCAGTGGGATGCAGGTGGGGGACAAAGGGTTGTTTGGTTTGGTTGTTGCATGCCACTACACATACCACTCTTTCTTAGAAATGACAGAGCCGTCGGTTTGAGAGATCATATCGTCGGCTATCTCAGGTTCAGGGTCATACTGGAAAGCCAGAGTCCGCTCGTCATAATCTCGGCTTTCTCCTTCATCCACAGTGAAATAGGGCCTCTTCAGGTCCTCTTGCTCGGTGTCAAAATCGCGCTCGCTCGCCTCAAACCCTCCGGTGCCACCAATCTGGGCGGGTTTCTTCTCGTCGTCCGAGTCGTCTGGGTACTGGAGGTTCTTGGGGATGGGCGGGTGGGCGGGCAGGCCGCCGGCCTTACTGTACCCATTTCCAAACACATGTTTCTTGGTGCTGTAGTCTCCTTTGAAGGTGCGCTGGCGGCGGCGCAGGAATATGAAGAGCAGTATGGCCGCCACGCCCAACAGGGCGACTCCCCCCACAGCGCCCCCGATGGCGGCACCTGCATTGTGCTGCTCCTGCGGGATCTCATCGTCCCCACGTGGCGGGTTGTTAGGGAATTCTGGGTAGGAAAAGACAGATGGAAGGGAGTGTGTCAGTGCTCTGGTGGGAGGAGGTGCTTTTGTGCAGGTGCAGTTTTTTTTTTTTTTTAGGAAAGATGAAGTAAGGGAGACAAGGACGGAAAAGCAAAGGGGAAAGGAAGGACCCCCGGCCCCACGACAAACCCCCCAACCCCAAAGGAGCCCTTACCAGCACTGTGGCAAGGCTCGATCATCAACAGTCACATGCAGTTTCAGACATGAAATGAACAACCAGTCCACCACACACCTTCAAAGAGTGAAACGACTCAAGAGATTAAAGTGAATGAAGCTTCGTCAGCATGCATTAACCATCATTTCTTCTCTGTTTAGAAGACGGAGGAAAATGAAACAATTCAATGAACAAACTGTGGAAGAATGAATTAATATGGCCTTTCAGTTAATACATTGAACTCTGTATGTTTCACACAAGTCAAAGAAAACACATTGAATGATATATTGTAGTACAGTCCAGCAAAAAATAGCACGCCATGGCATATAACCACCTTCATCATCAGCGTAGTGGTAATGAAATGAAAGAGCACTGCCAGAGATGATTATCAGCAGCCAAGCATACACAGCCACGATGCATCAAGAGAGCTGATAAACATGAAGCTCTTCTATTCAGGCAGCAGAGCAGGCAGCAAAATATAGAATGAGCTTCCAGAGAAAATATATAGTATTCAGTGAAGACAGTGGAGAATAGAGGGACAATTATCAAATGATCAAACAATAAATAAGATGCCAGGGACTGCCTTGCAAATACAAAAAAGATCTGCTGTTTTCACCTGACTATACCATATCTGGAGCTAGACTGAGCCATCACATTCATTCCACCCTTTTAGAGAGCATGCAGCCTACTCACAGGAAGATAAAAAATGCTCACGACTAACACAGTTGTTGCTTACAGTGAAACTAAGCATAGAAAACCTCGTCCCTTACATAAACATCTTCACTTAAAACCAAAAAACGTACAGAGCTCTTTCGAGCGCAGAGACAGAAGATACTTTTATCTGAAATGTGATCAAAGCCTGGAGGCGCAGAGGTAGTGGTTGTCTAAACCTGCAGAGCAGAAGCACATTTAACTTCAATGGCAAACGCTGAATCCTCAACAGAAAGGTGGAGGGGAAAAAACAACAAAGAGTTACACCATCTACTAAACAAATGGTGTGGGAGAGGACTGAAAAAAAGAGAGAAACGGAGAGGAGGATCGGAGGGAGCTCTCTGTTCACGCAGGGCAAACCACATACTTGTATGTACAGTAGAGACAAGGCAAGGCAGGTCTGACACAGATAATATTAACTGCTTTTGATACTATCTGCCTACTGTTGTACTGATTTATTACCATCCTATTATGACACATCATCATATTGATATTAACACTGTTGATCAGGTGTCTTCTCAAAGGAAATATCTGGATCTGATAAGCACAAGTACTGTAATAACTTAATAAAATAAACTTTGATTTACATTTACATAAAAAGACGTCATCCTGTCACACCTTGAATGGTTTTAATTATAGTTTATATGGGCACACATTATAAATGGAGATGTGTCAGCAGGGCTGTTGCGACACCTGGCAGACATCATGGCTGCATCAGTATTGTCCTAAACAGGAAACTATTATATTTAATACACACAATTATGGTTAATATTGATGGGGAATTGTCTTTCTGAAATTGGAAACTCGTTTACAAAGTAAATGATTATAATTGAGCCAAAATGAAGGTTTATGTTAAGCAATCCTAAAAGTTCCTTAGAGATATTAAATTCTCTGTGCTGCCTTACAGAAAGTCCAATGGAGTCAAATCGCTGCAAAAACCAGCAAATCTCACAACCTCTGCCATCCTCATCACGCAAAACAAATTTTGCACATAACCTGAATATGATTTTCAAATTATTGGCCTAAACTGTAGAATTGAAAGCCATTACACTCAATTAGAACTGCGTTTTAGTGGTAATGATAAATCTCTGAAGAACTGGGGTAGAAAAGGATGGTATTGGGCGAAGTAAAGAAGCTGCTGAAGCTTTCCTCTCTTTTAATTACAATGGCAACCTATCAGCCTAAAGGAGAGACCTCCCAAACACAGTCACTCTCCTCAGCTGCTCTTCCACTACACCCTTTCTCCCAGGGCCGACTGCAAAGCTCTCCAATTTCTAAAGCGGTGCCGGGCACAGTCTCAAATATCAGCTCAGGTTTTAATCTGACCACCTAATGGGATTATTCAGACACAGGCCTTCATTACACACATGAATGAGAGAGCAGAGCCAGGTCACCTCTGCTCGAAAACACATCCTCCCACCAAGTCCAAAGAGGGTTGAAAATTCAGAGGATTGAGGGAGTAGAGAGAAAAGGGAAAACGTTCTCCTGTAATCCTCTCTTCTATCATTTTCTGCCTTCCTCTGCTAGGATTCTTCTTCGCTCTCATCAGCCTCCTTGTTCAATCTTAATTAGGCAGCTTTTTGCATTTCTGGGGTTGCCAAGACTCGATATTTACTACTTAGAGAGGTGAAAGACACAATGCAGGACTATTAAAACTACAGAATAGTGGCAGTAAAAGAAGATGCAGAGAGCTTTCAAAGGTGCTCCCCATCACCTCCATTTTTATAAAGGATCAAGTGACACCACCTCTTAACACCAATATTTGAAGAATGTCAACGCTAAAGCTTGAAGAATGTGTTATTGTCCCTACAAACTATAGACATGAAAGCAGTTGTAAACCTTCAGGTATTTTTGTGGCGTTTTGGCCGGCACATCCATCTCGGAGGGAGCCTTGGAAGTTACCTTACCAAAACAAGAGATGGGGTTTCTAAAAGAGTTATTAAGATGCTTTACTAGAGGGGAAATGAAAAGGAGGAGTATTCAAGTGTTCAGATGACTCTACCCCTGTAATGGGGGTTCTCTCAAAGCAGACAAAGAAGATCTGACACACGAGGAAAGGCTCATCAGATCACTTCACTGCAGTGGAGGAACTTTTATTTTGCAACTTAATGAGGTGTTCTGCCAAAAGGGGACTGCCCGTTCTCACCGCTTTATCCCTCACACTTCGGCTCTGTACTTGTCCCTCTGCAAGGTCACATCACAACACCACCTTCATTCAGCCCACTGGCCTTGTGCACACACGAAGATAACAAAATGGCAAAATATTTCTCAATTTCTCCAGCGCGGAGGCTTTGTCTAGCCCATGTACTCTGTGAATGTGACTATGTGATATTAGAGTGGCTATGGTGCAAACTAATCACATTACAGAAACACTAATAATAAAACACATTTGAAATGGTCGGGGTACGTAGGGGTGTTTGACAGCATGGAGGAGGGAGGAGGCGTTCCACCAGCACGCCATCGCTACCGGCAACACCTGCCAACACATAGATAAAAAAGACCTCAAAGCAGCACAACAACAGCCCTGATACTGTTCCAGGCAACAAAAGGCAGTGTCTATTAACACCACTCTGGAAATATGCAGATAGTGGGGTAACCTTGAGTTGCAGAGACTAAAATGTACTATTGAGATTAATAGGTGCCAAGATGAGCCATGAAAGGCTATAATTCAATCCAGAGGCATGATAGATTTACACAGGTAAAGAATAACATGAAATACTGCAGCTATTTAAATGCATCCATGCCGTTTTGTATTGCATTAATCATACAGTTTTGAACACTCACATCTGACTTGATCAAGTGGATGATTTACTACTTCCCAACATTTTAGACAAAATCCGTTTCCTTCACAACTCCATGAGTGCTCTCCCTCTGAGTCATTTGTGTAAGACTGAAGTGAGTCTTTAAGAGAAACAAATGGTAAACAAATGCGGCACACTCGCAAAAAAAAAAAAAAAAAGCCTGACATCTTGTTGTGGAAATGACACATGCCAGATTTGTGGTTTCATAAAACAACATACATTTGGAACAGGGTTTTGTATTTCAGTGTAAGCTACAGTGCAAAACTACCAGCTGGAGCAAATGTTCAAAGATATCGAAGGAGAGGAGTGTCTGAGGCAGAAGAGGCTTTTAAGTGAGAGAAACTGTATCACAACTATGTCCTGCAGGCACTGTTTCTGGGTGTGCTCAAGTCATGTCTGCACATGAAAAAAGAAGGAGAGAGACAGGTACAAACATTCCTGAGTCTTAGCGCAATCACCTGGACAAGGTGTTATGACAGAGGCTGGGAAAATGAGAGAGGATTTCAAAGAGCGGTACAGGGAGTGGTGTTCTAATATGACTAAATGAGGAACAAGCAGCACACAACAGAAGATGAAAAGAAAATAGAGGGCTACTCTTAGAGTTTGAGGAGTGGCAACAAGGGAAAAAAAGAAAGAAAGAAGACGGAGTGAGTGCCTGTGAGAGGTTGGGGAGTGACAACGGCAAATAAAGAATGGCATAATGAGTGACTGAGAATGGGGACAATCGAGGAAGACGCATTAATTCAGCGATTCCAACGATCCTCATTACTCCCCTGTCTGAATTTGCCAGTGGTTGTGAAGTCATGGAAATGTAATGCTGCCACAACGAATAAAAGCTCATCACTGACAGCAATTTAACATGCTGCACGCCCGGGGAGTCAGCGCTGAGGCAAAGCTCTTTTCCACCCTATCTCATGCTCCCTTCCAATATCTACAATCTCTTTTTTGTTTGTCAACATATATTTTTTTCTGTGCTATCACTGATTTTACAGAGGCATAAGCTCGTCTCATGTGTAGGTAAACCCCACTTGCGCCATAAAAGCCTTCATACTAGTAATTCAAATTCAACTCCCTGTAAAAAAAAAAAAGCCAATAGACGAGAGGCATGGAATGTGCTGGAGGAGATAACACTGTGAAATACTGGCATCAAAACACTGGTGACATCATGTGTGGCATGTTGTGAACATGCAGCGGCTTGCAGGACAGTCCTGTCAGAGAAACCGAGACTGCTTCTTGTTTTCATCTCTGTACAGCACGTAATCTCAGACTTTTTTTTTCCATCTACTGGTGATCATGTCAT